GGGGGGGGGGGGGGGGAGAGAGAGAATGCTTTTATGTAGGGCACGTTCTTGAAATTGTAACTCAAAATTAACTACATATATGATTGAAATTGTAACTCAAACTTTAAATGAAAGATATAAAAAAAATAAAACTTTAAAATTCCTTATTTCTCTTAGTAAATTGTATAAGACGGTGATCTCAAAAGGAATCCCTTCGCAGGCCCCTTTGGGGGTGACATCCCAGTGGGCCGAGAACCTGTGCTCTAGCAACTTATACTGCCAAGCTGTTTATGTCTTGAACTCATTTTAAATATTTAGTGTATTCTTTTACGTCCAAAATCAACCAAGTCAATCCTATACATAAATGCATACGTTCAATCTATAGTCAGTCCTATACATAAATGCATACGTTCAATCTAGTCAGTCCTATACATAAATACATACGTTCAATCTAGTCAGTCCTCTACATAAATGCATACGTTCAATCTATAGTCAGTCCTCTACATAAATGCATACGTTCAATCTAGTCAATCCTATACATAAATGCATACGTTCAATCTAGTCAGTCCTATACATTATAAATGCATACGTTCAATCTAGCAGTCCTATACATAAATGCATACGTTCAATCTAGTCAGTCTTATACATTATAAATGCATACGTTTATTAATATTTCTAAATGGTTTTCTTTTTTTTTATCTTTAAAACAGCATTGCGGCACTTAGTTCTTCATGTAGGGCTGGGCGACATTGTTGGTCGCAGAGTTTAAAGGTTTTTTATTTCTACAGGAGGTCATATGTCAGGTCTGAATTTTTTTTTTATTATTAACTAGTTATCTATTTCTTGGTCAAAGTAGATGAAATGAAGAAACAAGTAACAAGTCACCAACACCCTCGAGTAACCTCAACAGCGTTGCTAATTAATTAATAGACAACAACAACTAAGCAATTGTAAATATGCTTACTTATCAGTCAACACTCAACACTCCCCTCAACATGTCCAAATGAACTGACCACATCATCCATCAGTCAACATTCCCCTCAACGTGTCCAAATGAACTGACCACATCACCCATCAGTCAACACTCCCCTAAACATGTCCACATGAACTGACCACATCATCCATCAGTCAACACTCCCCTAAACATGTCCAAATGAACTGACCATATCACCCATCAGCCAACACTCCTCTCAATATGCTCAAAATACCTGACATCACCCACCAGTTCACACTGACCCCTTGTCCCAACAAACTGACCACAACACCCCCCCCCGCCCCAGTCTACACTCACCTCATCGCCGATCCTGCCAGCTCCGCGCAGCCGAGTTTCCCCAGAGTTTTTGTTGCTGGTCAGTTTTTTTATGTCAGCTGTGTCTGGCACGTTCTCGTCGTCCACATGAACTGACCACATCATCCCTCAGTCAACCCTCCCCTAAACATGTCCAAATGAACTGACCATATCACCCATCAGCCAACCCTCCTCTCAATATGCTCAAAATACCTGACATCCCCCACCAGTTCACACTGACCCCTTGTCCCAACAAACTGACCACAACCCCCCCCCCCCCGCCCCAGTCTACACTCACCTCATGGCCGATCCTGGCAGCTCTGTGCAGCAGAGTTTCCCCAGAGTTTTTGTTGATGGTCAGTTTTTTTATGTCAGCTGGGACTGGCACGTTCTCGATGGGGATACTGCTGATGACGTCCAACTGGTCACCCTCTACGTCATCATCCTGGGCAGAGTTTAAACAAGGTTCAATAGAAATAAGGAAGATATGTGGTAATAAGGGTATATGGAGTAACTGGGGGAGAAACGTCATGTCCTAGCAGATGGAGATATAATTTACAATGACTGACCCATCAGCTGGAAATGTTCATCTGTTAGGCTCTCATTGTTCAAGGGATAAGGCGGACATGATTGACCAAACACATGGGATGTGAAATGGACAGGACAGACCCAACACATAATAATTTGAACAGCACAACTACAAACCTACAGACTTCGAGAGACGTAAAAGTCAGATTCCATAAACAGTACTGTTCCTGTACGATTGAAATATCAGGATACTTAAGTACAACGAGCCCCATCCACATCACCCTATATTTCAAGTCCGTCAATAGTTAATTGGGGAGACACACAAAAACACTTAATTTAAAGAACACCATTAGCATATTGGGGAGACACACAAAATAACTTTATTATTTGAAACAAGACATCTATTTATGCCCCCCCCCCCCCACCACACAATTCATATTTACACACACACATTATCAATCGTTTCTCTGCCTCTGTACCTCTAGTCCCTCTTGACCGTCATCCTCGTAAAAACACTTAAATTAAAAAACACCATTAGCAAAATGGGGAGACACACAAAATAACTTTATTATTTGAAACAAGACATCTATTTTTGCCCCCCCCCCCCACCACACAATTCATATTTACACACACACATTATCAATCGTTTCTCTGCCTCTGTACCTCTAGTCCCTCTTGACCGTCATCCTCGTCTGCTCCTTGCTTGGCCCTGAACTTGCCACCCTTAGCCTTCCTCTTCTTGCCGTCATCAGAAGCCATTTCGGCCACCAAATCTTCCGGCACGTTCTCCACGTCTGATTCATAATCCTCCTTGTGCTGACCCCCCGAGGTGGAAGGTCCGGACACTCTTGACAACGAACTGTTCTTGCCGCCGGTAGCCGTGACGGACGAGTTCTTGGAGCTCCCCTTATTTCCCGGGGTCTTGACCCCTTGACCTTGACCGCTCTTTTTAACCGCGCTGTTGGATTTCGTCTCGGGGAGTTCCCACGACTCGTCCAAGACGGCGTCGTCATTGTCCCCATCCTGGGAGAGATCTCTCTGCTGCTGGAGGCGCTCTCTCGCTTTGCTGCTCGCCTAGAGTGATACAACGTACAGCAGTGAATTAACAGGACATTCGCACTTGCAGAAAAGAGGATAAACGTGACCACTTACGTCTTTCTTACATGGGGACTCATCAAAATACACACGGATCAATTACACACAAACAGCATTGACAAAATACACACATACAACATAGACTAAATATACACATACAAAATACCAAATACACACAACATACACACATACAACACAGATGAAAATCCAACATCTTAGAGCAGAAACGTCCTCGTCTGACATTCAATCACAGAAAGGGTGTAAGAACGTCGCATCATAAGCAAATATACCATCTGAAAATTGATTTGGTTTCACCAGATACTGTCAGTGAGTTTAAGTCATGGGAGGAAGGGTCAGTGAGTTTAAGTCATGGGAGGAAGGGTCAGTGAGTTTAAGTCATGGAGGAAATGTCAGTGAGTTTAAGTCATGGGAGGAAGGGTCAGTGAGTTTAAGTCATGGGAGGAAGGGTCAGTGAGTTTAAGTCATGGGAGGAAGGGTCAGTGAGTTTAAGTCATGGGAGGAAGGTCAGTTTGTTCAAGTTGTGGAGGAAAGGTCAGTGAGTTCAAGTCGTGGAGGAAAGATCAGTGAGTTCAAGTCGTGGAGGAAAGGTCAGTGAGTTCAAGTCGTGGAGGAAAGGTCAGTGAGTTCAAGTCGTGGAGGAAAGGTCAGTGAGTTCAAGTCGTGGAGGAAAGGTCAGTTTGTTCAAGTCGTGGAGGAAAGGTCAGTGAGTTCAAGTCGTGGAGGAAAGGTCAGTTTGTTCAAGTCGTGGAGGAAAGGTCAGGTTGTTCAAGTCGTGGAGGAAAGGTCAGTGAGTTCAAGTCGTGGAGGAAAGGTCAGCGAGTTAAAGTCGTAGAGGAAAGGTCAGCGAGTTCAAGTCGTGGAGGAAAGGTCAGTGAGTTCAAGTCGTGGAGGAAAAGTCAGTTTGTTCAAGTCGTGGAGGAAACGTCAGCGAGTTCAAGTCGTGGAGGAAAGGTCAGTTTGTTCAAGTCGTGGAGGAAAAGTCAGTGAGTTCAAGTCATGGAGGAAATGTCAGTGAGTTCAAGGCATGAAGGAAGGTCAGTGACAGGAACAAAAATATGAATTCAGTTGTTTTAAGCTAGAAGATTGGGCTTCGCTTTAATCCTATAAACGTCTTTTAAAAAAATCACTGCGGTCAAGAAAGACACTGAATAGGTTTCGAATTATACTATAAGACGTCTGGAAAGGTCAGTGAGTTCAAGAAAGATATAAATTCAGTAATATATGACTAGAGAATTGGGATTCGCTCTATTCTAAAAAAAAAGTCTGAACATATGTCTTTAAGTGATGTCTTCAGAGAGCGACTGCCATAAATTTGTGAAACATCCAACTAATCATATCCAACACGTTCAAACCTTTTTTTTCCCCCACTCCCCAACCCTGCCCTGAACACGATAATGTCACATGATGCCACAACAATAACAAGCGTCGGTGATATTGGTGTCAACTGGGACTTGTCTTACCTGGCGCTTGGCCCTGACAACCGCTCTTCTGTTGGCTTCTCTGTGCAGTTCTTGTTCGTAGGCGGCATTGCGGTTGTAGCGACGAATCTTTCGTTTACCTGATAGTGTAGAGAAAGGAATCAACAACACAGTTCAAAAATGGGGGATCATTTTCATTCAGTTTTCACCTCAGGGTCAAATAAACGGAATCATTTGAATCAATGTTTCTCAAGCCTTAGCTCCGGACCTCATAAAAGCGTTCGTGTAATTCAGGTTCCTTCACTTGAGAACCCCCACCCGACCCCCCCCCCCCCTGATCTTTGTCCGTAGCTCAACACATGTGTATCCAGAGGTCGTTGAGAACTAACAATGACAATAAAAAAGACATGACAATAAAAAAGACAGAGTGGTCAGAAAATATGTGCGAAGTGGTCGGGGAAGCAAACGTCATTATGTATACCATATTAAATCATTCATCCCCGGCCCACACCACCCCCTTTTCTCTCTCTCTCTCTCTCTCTCTTCCGAACTAACTTATTGAGACAAGGGTACCAGAAGTGCCAGAAAGTGATCTCAGAAGTGTCTGAAAGTGGTACCAGGAGTGTCAGAAAGTGAAACCAGAAGTGTCATAAAGTGGTACCAAAAGTGTCACAAAGTGACATCAGAAGTGTCTGAAAGTGGTACCAGGAATGTCTGAAAGTGGAACCAGAAGCATCAGAAAGCGGTACCAGAAGTGTCTGAAAGTGGTATCAGAAGTGTCTGAAAGTTGAACCAGAATTGTTAGAAAATTTACCTGAAGTGTCAGAAAGTCGTCCAAGAAGTGTCAAAAAGTGTACCCTAGTGGGTATTTAAGTCGCGTTTTTTTGGGGGAGATAAACACCCCGACTCTATTCAGTTTTTTTTCCCCCCAACCAGGAATTTTTTTTTCAACATCATTTCCAATGTATCTCTATGCACCACTCATTATCATCCAACGTTTTTCCCCAGCCGCCAGCCGGTCTGGGGCCGGGTATAGCAATAGCACAACTGGAAGGAAAATAGTGCCTTCATCTTATGGCGTCATCCCCCACTAGAAGGGGATCGATAATGGGGTCAGATCATGACTTGAATTTAGGGGTGTTAACTTAATATCCTCGTCTAAAATAGTCAGATTTAGTGCGCGATTAGTCAGAAAATGTGTGTCAATAGTCAGATATCGAGTGCGGATAGACGTAAAATGTATGTCAACAATCAGGTAACACGTGTCAACAGAGAGATAAGTGTATATCTATAGGAAAAGTTATTGTGAAAATAGTCAAATATATTGGAATAGTTCACTGTCGTGTCAATAGTCAGATAGCATATGTGAATATGTTGGTTATAGTGTGTCAAGTCAGTTGTGGGTCAAAATATTTGTATTGCGTTTGTCCATTGTCAAATAGTATGTGTCCAAAGTTGGATATCGTGTGTCAAAAGTCAGATATCGTGTGTTAATAGTCGAATATATATTATGTGAATATCGTGTTAAAATACTTAGGATACCGTGTGTCGATAGATATCATGTGTCGATGGTCAGACATTGTTGATCACTAATTGGATATTGTGTAAAAAGTAAGATATCGTGTGCAAACAGTTGGATATCAAATATATATAAAATAGTAAAACGTGTGTCAGTTTTCTGATATCATGTGTCAGTTTTCTGATATCGTGTGTCAGTTGTCTGATATCGTGTGTCAGCTGTCTGATATCGTGTGTCAGCTGTCTGATATCGTGTGTCAGCTGTCTGATATCGTGTGTCAGTTGTCTGATATCGTGTGTCAGTTGTCTGATATCGTGTGTCAGTTGTCTGATATAGAGTGTCAGTTGTCTGATATCGTGTGTCAGTTGTCTGATATGGTGTGTCAGCTGTCTGACATCGTTTGTCAGTTGTCTGATATCGTGTGTCAGTTGTCTGATATCGTGTGTCAGTTGTCTGATATCGTTTGTCAGTTGTCTGATATCGTGTGTCAGTTGTCTGATATGGTGTGTCCATTCTCTAATATCGTTTGTCAGTTGTCAGTTTTCGTGCGTGATGTATCAAGTTTCATATGAAAATTATTATGTCGAAATAAGATGTGAGAGAAAGTAAGATAGCCTGAAAGAAAGACTAAAGGAGAAGCAAAATGAGGAAAGCACAGTTACAAATAACGGAGACAGTTTCTTACGTCCTTGACCTTAGAGAAAACAATTTAGAGGCAATTAACATCATCACACACCACGCCGTTTAAGTTTGTTTTGTTTCCCCCACCAATTATTTAAAAATAGCTCATTTGTAAGAAAATAAGCTGCTGGTATTTTAGTGGAGACAAATAGGCTGTTTGCACTTTAAAAACGTCATCCAAGTTTCCATGTTTTAATGTACACGTAGTGAATAGTGAAGCCTTATATAAAAGTAGCAATTATGCCAGGGAGAGCCACCAGTTGTAAGCTACCAGAGAAAAGTCACAAGAGGAAAGCCACCAGATGTAAGCTCCAAGAGGAAAGACACAAGAGGAAAGCCACCAGATGTAAGCTCCAAGAGGAAAGCCACAAGAGGAAAGCCACCAGATGTAAGCTCCAAGAGGAAAGCCACCAGATGCAAGCTCCAAGAGGAAAGCCACCAGATGTAAGCTCTCAGAGAAAGGCCACAACAGGAAAGCCACCAGATGTAAGCTCCAAGAGGAAAGCCACCAGATGTAAGCTCAGAGAAAGACCACAAGAGGAAAACCACCAGATGTAAGCTCCATGAGGAAAGCCACCAGATGTAAGCTACAAGAGGAAAGCCACCAGATGTAAGCTCTCAGAGAAAGGCCACAAGAGGAAAGCCACCAGATGTAAGCTCCAAGAGGAAAGCCACCAAATGTAAGCTCCAAGAGGACAGCCACCAGATGTAAGCTCTCAGAGAAAGGCCACAACAGGCAAGCCACAAGATGTAAGCTCCAAGAGGAACACCACAAGAGGAAAGCAACCAGATGTAAGCTCTCAGAGAAAGGCCACAACAGGAAAGCCACAAGAGGAAAGCCACCAGATGTAAGCTCTCAGAGAAAGGCCACCAGGAAAGCCACCAGATGTAAGCTACCAGAAAAAAGCCACATGAGAAAAGCTACCAGAGGAAAGAAAACAGAGGTATGTTACATCTACCTGACTACGAATTAAATGATTATATGACATCTACTTGACTACGGATTAAATCCATTCTTCATGAGTCAACGCAAGACAAGGAGTCGTATTACCGTGGTCCAATCAGTTTCGACTCCAGAGCCCTAACGACCCAGACTTTGAGTTTTGTTTGTTCCCATTTCAAGCCAATAAATCATGCTCTTAACCAAGTCGGGGAGCCGGATCTGAAGGATGAAGGGAGAGAACAGGCGCACACAAATAGAAGATAGGAATTACATACACGACGACGCACATAAACGCGCACCCACACACACACATACACACAAAACTAAATAAAGGCTCCTCACACACATACAAATAAATTCTCCTGGCGGAGACACACACACAAATAAATGTTCCTCACAGACAGACAGACAGACACACACACACACACAAATAAAAGCCACGGCAATCACTTCCTCATGGGATCGATGGAAGCCTCCATTTATCAGAACCTTTCTTTCTCTCAAGATTGAATATGTCTGGCCGCGGGCGCGCTCGTTCGTGTGCGTAAAAAGGGGGTGTGGGGTGGGGTGGGCCTGAAGTTATAAAGAGGGGGAAAAAAATGGAAGACGGGACTACCCGAGGCGAGCGCGAGGTTCGAGCATCATTAGACTTTGTACGTCTTGACTCTCGCGTGATGAATTAGATATCAAAAAGCGTTAGAGATGAGCACTGTTTTCTGATGTCTGCTCATGTATCTTAAAGAAATATACCGCTGATCAAAGGAAGAGGATTGCTGTTTTTATTAACTGAAGTCACCTTAGACGTTCGACTCCACCCCCCTTCCCCTTTAAACAAAACATACAAACCCCCGGCAAGATTCAAGGTCTTTGCTATAATACTACTACAGAGTCGGAGTCAAATGTTTGGTCTTAGTCGGAGTGGGGCAGAGTGTCGTGTCTTGTAACAGCAATAGTGAGGCATTCCTCAAATAATACTTCAATTAGAAATAGTATAGACATAAATAATATATAGTGCTGACAAATAAATGACACTTATGACTAACACATACATTTCAACAACAACAACAAACACGGACACGAAATATTAACACGTTTTAGTGGCACACACAAATAAAGTTCACTGGCACTTATAAGTGACACATTTTACTGTCACATATAAATATTCATACGGAGACATAGTACTGGTAATTTTCATCAAAATTAACCAGGGAAAAATTGGTTGCTATTTAAAGGAAAACATAATTTTGTAATTCTTCAATTTCTAGAGTTAATTACAGTACTTGTTTCAATAAACCAAGAAACATCAAGTTGTCCAGGCTGAGCTACAAAACTTGTTTCAATAAACCCAGAAACATCAATGTGTCCAGGCTGAGCTACAAAACTTGTTTCAATAAACCCAGAAACATCAACTTGTCCAGGCTGAGCTACAAAACTTGTTTCAATAAACCCAGAAACATCAAATTGTTCAGGCTGAGCTACAAAACGTGTTTCAATAAACCCAGAAACATCAATGTGTCCAGGCTGAGCTACAAAACTTGTTTCAATAAACCCAGAAACATCAATGTGTCCAGGCTGAGCTACAAAACTTGTTTCAATAAACCCAGAAACATCAACTTGTCCAGGCTGAGCTACAAAACTTGTTGCAATAAACCCAGAAAAATCAAGTTGTCCAGGCTGAGCTACAAAACTTGTTTCAATAAACCCAGAACCATCAACTTGTCCAGGCGGAGCTACAAAACTTGTTTCAATAACCCAGAAACATCAAATTGTCCAGGCTGAGCTACAAAACTTGTTTCAATAAACCCAGAAACATCAACTTGTCCAGGCTGAGCTACAAAACTTGTTTCAATAAACCCAGAAACATCAACTTGTCCAGGCTGAGCTACAAAACTTGTTTCAATAAACCCAGAAACATCAAATTGTTCAGGCTGAGCTACAAAACTTGTTTCAATAAACCCAGAAACATCAATGTGTCCAGGCTGAGCTACA